CAAGGAGGGTTTATAAAAACTAGGCAAGCAGAGACAACATTAGATTAGTTGCAGATCTAACAGACTTGAATAAAAATAAAAATCAACTTGTAATCTTATCATTAAATGCTGAAAAAGCCTTTGATAAAATGTATAAAGAGTACATTTTTGCTCTACTAAATAGAATTCCTTTTGGAATTCATAAAATGGATTAAGATATCTTAATCTCCCACATCTAAAGTGAAGGTTAATGGCATGTTTTCTATTTTTCACTATTCAGAAGAACTAGACAACGATGTCCACTTCACTTTTTAATATCTGTGTAGAATCCTTAGCTTGTGCTATTTGAAATCTACAGAATAATACATTTTTAGAATAGAATAGAATAACAGAATTGGACGGGACCTTGGAGGTCTTCTAGTCCAACCTCCTGCTTAGGCAGGAAACCCTATACTATTTCAGACAAATGGTGACATATCTCAGTGAACACAAATTGGTTTCTTTTGCAGAAAACATTCTTTTGTTTATTTGTAAACCTCATGTCACTTTCCCCCTGTTGATGCAAAAGTTAGATGCTTTTAAAAAGATAAGAGGATATCTATAAACTGGTCCAAATCAGAACTGATGTCAATAAGTGAAAATTGGGTTACCCATCCATTTAAACCTACAGAAAAACCACCCATACTAACCAGGTGCTCCACTACCAAAGCAATAACCCAATCTCCCACAAAAGAAGCTGCATAAAGACTTTAAACGAGCCCAAACACACTGCAGCAACCGCGAATAGCAGAAAAAGGAAATGAAGCATCTATACAACACATTCCAACAAAATGAATACCCATGCAACTTTGTCAAAAAGTCCCTGACCACTCAACCCAATACAACACAACCAACACAAACCCTAAAAAGAATTACACTGCCATACATCAAGAATATCTCAGAAACCACCAACAGACTACTACAGCCACATGGATTCAGCATAGCACACAAGCCAGCTAAAGGCCTTCAAAGCATCCTAAGCAAACCAAAACCCTTAGCAACCCCAGAAGAAAAAAACAGGAGCCATTCTACAACGCACAATGTCAGAACTGCAGCAGCTGCTATGGAGGACAAACAGGCAGAAGACTGGCAGAACGCATCCATGAACACCAACTGGCAGTCAGAAGGCCTGACAAAAAATCTTAAATTTCATCATATATAGACAGATTTAACGATAGTTTCAATTGGGAACATGTGACAATCCTAGACTGGGCCAAGCCCAAAAATGCCAGGGAATTTCTAGAAGCCTGGCACTCTGACAAATCAGCCATCAATAGACGCATAGACATTAACAACATCTATAGACTATGCAAAAGAGACAATCAACCAGCCCCAAAGAGAAAAAGGCTCCAGCACCTCTCCACCAGGAATCAGCACTCAGATCAGCACAGATTAACTCAAAGTCCAACTTCAGACCAAAAATCAAGTAAGTAATACCCCAATCAAGAAACTGGCACAGAGTCATTAGTAAACAACCCAACCAAATAATCCCTAAGGCTGCCTCCACCCACCCAGACAGGCAAGACACCAGAATATTAACTCAGCAAACTCCACTCCTTACTAGCACTGATGATATTCCCTAGTTGGGTAATGAAACATCTGCAAGAAAACAAGCAAGCTCAGAGAGCACCAAGGATTCCTCATTTAAGTTATATCAATTCCATATTTTTATCAAATCTATTAAATATAGTTAGTTAGATAGATATAGATATAGATATATAGATATATATACCACACCATATAATCTATATAAATAAAAATGTAAATGTTCATTTGTTCAAAATCTTATATCTCCAAATGTTCTTCACTGATTGCTTTGAAATTTTGACACAACGTTGCATTCGAATACGCACGTGTTTTTATATACCTACTATTATATAGATGTCACACTTGTGACACAAACGTGCGCTTTCTCTTTTCTTTCTTTTCCATTTAACCAGACTGAGCCACAGCAACGTGTGGCCGGGTACAGCTAGTATATAATATAAATAACATACATAGAGAGGTTTCTTCAAATATGAGTCATTAAACCTTACCCTTTGGCCAGGCCCTACATTAGAATATAATTTCCAGATTAACATTAGATTACATTACAATCCCCTCTCCTCTCCTCTCCTTTTATTTTATTTTTTATTTTATTATTTCATTTTATTTTTTATTTATTTGTAAAGGTAAGGGTTTCCCGTGCCAGTCATTTCTGACTATAGTTGGTGCTGATCTCGTTTTCTTAGCTGAGGGAGCTAGTGTTGTTCAAAAACATTCTATGTGTCAATGCTTCTAACATTGAATGTTCTTGCTTTGACAACAGATGGAGATGCAGCCTTTTTCTTTCTTATATTGTACTCTTAGAATTAGATGATCTGGGCGAGGGGGAGGAATGTGATGGGAGTTAGTTAAGACGTACAATATTGTAACAAGAGCTGATAAAGAATGGAGGGAGAGAAGACTGGGCGGAAAGCCAGCATTTCAAACTAATTGGAGAATGTGATTTATGACTATTAGTTGTAGGAGGGGATTGTGCTTTGATCTATGTGCTGAAGGGAGGGGAAGTCAGATTTTGGCTTCAATTATGTATGTGCTGAAGCTATGCTGCTCAATTAAAGATTCTTTAAGGTAAACAATGCCTCAAAGTTCTTTGAAGAGTTTCATCTTTCGGAACCATGACACTATGATCATGTGGCCAGCATGGCTATACACTAAGACACATGGAACGTTGTCACCTTCCCAATGAATTGTTACCCATTTATCTACTTGCATTTGCATGCTTTTGAACTGCTAGGTGAGCAGTGTTGGGCAAGGGACAGGAGCTCACCCTGTTGCGTGGTGCTTGGGTCTCAAACTCAGGCTGTCAGCTTTCCAGCTGACAAGCTCAGTGTCTTTAACAGGTGAGTCATTGGGCCCCTTCTTTATTTGTACCTCGCCTTTGCTATTTTTACAAATAACTCAAATATCCAGCATATCTTCCATCTCCTATTTTTCCCACCACAACAACTCTGCAATGTGGATTAGGCTGAGAGTAAAGGACTGCCCCAAGGTAATCCAGCTGGTCTTTCATGGTGCTGTATATTCAGGGAGCCTTTGAAGACATCTCCGTGGTCATGTGGTTCAACATGACATCATGGAGTGTTGTTCTTCCCACCGAAACGGTACCTATTTATCTACTTGCATTTTCATGTTTTCACACTGCTAGGTTGGCAGGGGATAGGATGGCGATGGGAGCTCAGCCTGTCATGTGGTGCTCGGGTCTTAAACCTGGTCTGCTAGCTTTTTAGCTGACAAGTCCAGCGTCTTAACCACTGAGTCACTGGGCCGCCATATTGGGAATGGAAGAGGACATCATAAACACATACCTGAAGTTGGTGTGTCAATTTTCTTTTATCTTTTGTGTCATCATATGCAGCCATTGCTTATTGTGAAGTTTTCACAACATCTGTGCTTCAGCATTCTAAATAGCTTTCAAGAGATTATTATAAAAGAAGATTATAAACCTACTAAAACCCATCCCTTTCTTTTCCTTTTGTTTCTCTTTTGCTTATGGAGAGGAATTAAATGATCATTGCTTGTGATAGAGAGGGATTTTCTTCCTCAGGGTGGCAACATCATTTGCATCTGCAAAATATAGTTGTATCCCTGCCCCCTTAGGCTTGTTACTTGTGATACAAAGAAATAAAATAAAAAAAGCAATAAAATAATTGCTGTGAGACCTTTGTATGCACAGAGATGGAATGACCTACAAATTCCCACAATGGAAGAATGGATGTTGGTTAATGGAATTGGCTGAGATGACAGACTTGAATAAAGGGTCCTATCCAACAACATGAAATTTGGAGAAATGTGGAGAAAAGCAAGGTTTTACACCTAGGCAGGAAAAACCAAAGGTACAAATACAGATTAGGTGAAACCTGGCTATAAAACAGTAACTATGAGAGGGACCTTGGAGTCCTAGTTGACCATCACTTAAACATGTGTGGCAACAGTTGTGTGTGGCAGCAGCCAAAAAAGCTAATACAATCCTTGGTTGTATAAACAGAAGCATAGAATCAAAATCACATGAAGTATAAGTACCATTTTATAAAACCTTAGTAAGACCATATCTGGAATACCGCATCCAGTTTTGGTCACCACATTACAAAAAAGATGTTGAGACTTTGGAAAAAGTGCAAAGAAGAGCAACTAACATGATTAAGGGCCTGGAGACAAAAATGTCTCGGTTGCAGGAATTGGGTATAGCCAATCTAGAGAAAAGAAGGACTAGGGGTTGACATGATAGCAGTATTTCAGAATTTGAGGGGCTGCCACAAAGAAGGCAGCCCCTTCTTTGCACCAGAAGGTAAGAGAAAAAAAACAATGGATGGAAACTAATCAAGAAGAGAAGCAACCTGGAATTAAGGAGAAACCTCCTAATAGGCAATTAACCATTGGAACAGCTTGCTACCAGAAGTTGTAGGTGCTTCATTACTGGAGGTTTTTAAAAAAAGACTGGATAGCCACCTATGTGAAATGACATAGGGTCTCCTGCTTGAGCATGGGATTAGTCCCTTCTAGCTCTATTCTGATTGATTGAAGTACTAAATTAATGCAAAGACAAATTTATTAGGAGTTGATGGCAGGAATCCAGTTGCAATAGTTATTTTTTTCAAAATAAAATCAAGCAATTGAATCAAGATGTCTTTGCATTGGAATGAGAATCTCTGGAAGATTCTGGACATAAAAAGGATCTGTAATATAATACATCCCTAATTAAAAACTCATCTACGAAATTGATATCGTGCAATTATGACTTTTAAGTTTACTCCTTAATCCTAGTTTTAGCACACCGTGTTCTATTTGCTTCGTAAAGCAAAGAAAATCATGTTCCAGAACTGCTTGTCTGAGCCATAATTAGGGGAGAATGCAGAAAGGTGTGGTAGCATAAATACCAATCACCTCTTAAATTGAAACCCAACAGAGAAAAGTCCTACAACAGATGATAGGGGTGGAGAGTGAGAAGGCAGGAGGATGTTGAAGCTACTGTTCCTTCTGATGCTCTGGATTCCACGCCGGATTCTTTCCTATCTGAAACAGATCTGGTCCCGCAAACGCTACCCACCAGGGCCTTTCCCACTTCCTGTGATTGGAAGCATGTGGCGGCGATTTGATACTGCCGTATCGGAGATGACTTTCAGAAAGGTACGTCTTTTGCACTATGTAATCCAATGAGAAGCAAGGTGTCAGGTGCCACCTTATGCTTGCTTTTGCTTTGCTGCTATGCGGTGATAACCATGAACAGTGAGGAGAGGGAAATGCAGGTGGGAACACTTTGGGAAATGAAAATAAATGCTGTATCCCCTTGAGATCAGTGGTGGGATTCAGCCAGTTCGCACCACTTTGGCAGAACTGGTAGCTAATTTTTTGTTGCCCAGGCCCAGAATGACTTCCGGAAGCGGCATCCACACAGAGAACCGGTTGTTCACATATTTGAATCCCACTGCTTGAGATGCTGCCTTAAGGTCACCCAACTGGAGGAAGGAGGGGGCTGCATACCAAGCGACGCTTGGATTGATGGTTAGGAAAATATCTTGCCTGAACCTAGGCCCAGTACTCTTCAATAGCTTCATACAGATGAGGGAATAGAAGGGGAACTTCATCAAACTTGCAGATGACACTAAGCTGGCAGGAATAGCCAACATCCCCTAAGAGAAGCTCAGGATCCAAAAAGATCTTGACAGACTTGAACAATGGGCCCTATCCAACAACATGAAATTTAGCGTGGAGAAAAGCAAGGTTTTACACCTAGGCAGGAAAAACCAAAGATACAAGTACAGATTAGGCAAAAAAAAAAAATAGTAATTGTGAGAGGGACCTTGAAGTACTAGTGCAGGGCTTTTCAAACGGTGCTATGGGTACCACTTGTGGTTACTTTGCCACATGGCAGGTGGTACGCGACTGCTAACCAAGTGTAGCTGGGGAGGGGAATGAGCCGAAGCGAGCCAAACCTGAGGGAGAGGCAGCTGCAGCTGCAGGACTGTCTGGGCTCCGCAGAAGCCCCAGGAGCCGGCAGGGCTCCAGCTGATTGGCTCCAGATGAAAAGGGGGGAAGAGAGGAGAGGAGAGGTTATAAAATAATAATAATAATAATAATAATAATAATAATAATAATAATAATAATAATAATAATAATAATAATAATAATAATAATAATAATAATGTTATTGTTCGTCCATCGATTTCGATGAAGACCTTGACATCTTATGGATTATGGGCCATCAGTGGTGTGTCCGTAGATGGCTGATGAGACCGATGTTAGCACGGAATGTTCTGCCACAGACTGAACCGAGAAATGTGGATACTATTGCTTCAGCATTTGCAGCTCTGGCTTTACGGAGTGCTCGCTTCTCTTGTGCCAAGATTAATAATAATAATAATAATAATAATAATAATAATAATAATAATAATAATAATAATAATAATAATAATAATAATAATAATAATAATAATAATAATAAAGTTGGAAGGGACCTTGGAGGTCATCTAGTCCAACCCCCTGCTCAGGCAGGAAACCTTTATACCATTTCAGACAAATGGCTGTCCAGTCTCTTAAAAACTTCCAGTGTTGGAGCATTCACCGCTTCTGGAGGCAGGTTGTTCCACTGGTTAATTGTTAGAACGTGGTTTGGGCGGGGGAAGGAGAAAAAAGACAACATTGTGACACGCCTGAGGAGTTTGTGTTTCTTTATTTTCTTGCTTTGCACTTGATTCCTGTGTCTTTAAGGGTACAGGGAAGGGATTGGGTGGGGGTTCATTCTTACTACACTGTGGAAGAGCTCAGATGGGCAAACCAGCTAGCTCAGGAGTCTACAAACTTAGCAACTTTAAGACCTGTGGACTTCAACTCCCATGAGGCTGAGGAATTCTGAGGAATTCTGGGAGTTGAAGTCCAGAAGTCTTAAAAGTGCCAAGTTTGAAGACCCCTGAACTAGCTGATAGTGGTGCATATTAATAAACATGGATAAGTTCATCATACATTTGTCAGTGCAAAGGGAAAGGGATTCAGCAAAGGAACAGCCACCGAAGAAATTAAAACTGGTACTTCTTTCCTACAGTTTGTAACATTTTATTAGATTATAGAATAAAATACAAAAATACAAAAGCAAATAGTAGGACACGGTGGGGAGGAAAAAAGGGGGGGGGAAAGTGAGGGGGAGAAGGGAAAAAGAACAGACTTCCTCTGTTGCAGTAGAAGGAAGCATTAACATTGAACCTCAACTTTTTACTTTTCCATAATATTATAAAGTAGCCGTTTCTAGAACAACAAATGAATCCCAAAATCCCCCCCCTTTTTTTTAGACATCAAGTTTTTGACACCTTGCTAAGCACTGGTGGTACTCAAATATTGTCATGTCCTAAAAGTGGTACAATCTGTGAAAAGGTTGAAAAGCCCTGCTCTAGGTTATGGTCAGAAAAAGTCTGGAATCCCCACAGTCCTATTAATCATGTTTTTCAAAATCCATATCGTATCTATTGGTGAGATATTGGTATCTTTTTGAAAAATAAGTATAATCTACAGAATTAATATTTTTGTGTCCATAGATCTATAGAGTTGGAATATTCATTAAAAATAGTCTTTGATAATTTCCCCTGAGTGGTATTATTTTCTTCTCAGATGTTCTATTCAATTACAACACCATTCCTGTCACCCATCGGGCAGCAATTCTAATAGGAAAAGTTTTGTTCCATAAGTTGTTTATTAAAAATATCTTTAATTTTATTGGGTACATAAAGTCCCAAAACAAAAGTTTTAACAGAATATAACAGAATATTCTGTTAAAAGCTTCTGTTAAAACCAACTTTTTAAATCCTTGTAATTGTTTTCATTTCTATAAATCTTCCAACCTGATCAGTTATTTTTATTTGTGGTTTTAATTAGGGATTAACATATAGAACAAGTCCATTATTTGTTGTTTGTTTGATCCCCTGCTTTTGGGGGAAGTGTGTGTGTATGAGGCAGGGAGGAAAGGCTTTGGGGGGGGGTTGTGTGAGAGGCAGAGATGAAAGGCTTTTGGGGGAAGTGTGTGTGTATGAGGCAGGGAGGAAAGGCGTTTGGGGGGAGGTTTGTGTGAGAGGCAGAGAGAAAAGGCTTTTGGGGGAAAGTGTGAGGCAGAGAGGAAAGACTTTTGGGGGAAGTGTGTGTGAGAGGCAGAAAGGAAAGGCTTTTGGGGGAAGTGTTTGTGTGAGACAGAGAGGAAAGGCTTTTGCGGGGGAAGTGTGTGAGAGGGAGAGAGGAAAGGCTTTTGGGGGGAAGTGTGTGAGAGGCAGAAAGGAAATAGATGAAAGATGGGCCATTGTTTCAGCTGTTTTTGAATGCAGACCAGAACAGGAATTAAGTATGGAAGCATTTAAGGCCTGTTTGATTTCTGAGGAACAGAAATGCCATTTTAGAAGAAGCCGCGAGGAGAAATTCCTCAGCTGGAAGTCCAAGGAGCAGAGCGAGCAGAGCTGCAGACTGCCTTTCTGCAGAGATCGGATTACATCTCAGCAGAGAATTACCATGAGGAAAGAACAGGAGAAAAAGAAATGTTTTATCTGTGGGGCTGAAACACATTTAAGGAAAAACTGTTTACAAGGAAGAACAACAGCAAATAGACAGGCTGCTGTTGCAAAAGTTAGCTATTGTAATAGCAGAGATAAATGTTAACAGACAGTGGGGCTAATCAAACAATTGTTAATAATTCCAAGTTGTTTTCCAGATTGGATTCAACTGGAGGAGATGCAGTGGCCTTAGCAAATGGCCAGAAAGCAAAAGTCATGGGGAAAGGCAGTGTGCTGATTCCATGTCTGGAGGAAAGGTTTAATAATGTATTATGTGTACCTGAAATGGAGCATAATTTACTGAGTGTCTCCAGTCTTGACAAACAAGGGTTTGAGACCACATTTGTGGATGGGAGATGTCTCATAAAAAGAAATGGGAGTGTATGTGCATAGGGCATAAAACAGGATAATCTTTATATGTTGCAGGCACAAAAGATTCAATGTGCCCAAACATTTAGTAATGTGACACAACATGATTCATGCATTCATCTCTTGCACAGAAAGCTTGGCCATTCTAGCTTCAAAGTGTTGCAAAAGATGTCAGAGTTTGCAGAGGGATTAACCTTAAAAGGGTGTAGGGCATACTTAGACTGTGCAGTATGTAAACCATCGAAATCTAAGGTATTCCCAGTAAGCAAGAAGAGCACAAGGCAGACAACAAGGGTTCTAGAGCTGGTACATGCAGATTTAGTAGAAATTCCTCATGGAATTTTATAAGGAAATATTTTCCATCTCTTTCCCCTATGTAAATCTCCAGTATTTTCTCACTGGCTGCCCTTGGTCAATTAAAGCAAGTGAAAAAAGAAAGTATAATGTCCTATGGCTACAGGACAAGCTACTATTTTGATTCTCCTATACGTAATTGGAAAGAGAGTTCTGAAGTCTAAGAAGAGTCCTCTGATGTCTGACCTGGAGTCCTTTTGGTATCAGGAAACCCTGATCTCAGAAACCCACATAGAGAATGGGCTCAGGCAGGAGATCCTGAGGATTTTTGCTTTGTCCAGCCTTTCGTTATGTCCCAACTTGGAGAACCAACTTTTAGATCAGTTGCATTTCTCTAGCATGATACCTGCTGGGCCATCCTGGAGAGCCTATGGAGATCCAGGTCATAGTTATCCCAAAGATGCTTTTTCACGAGACAACTGGACTTTCTTGTTTTTCTTTGAAGACATTTCGGTTCTCATCGAAGAAGCTTCTTCAGCTCTGACTGGATGGTCATTGAAGAAGCCTCTTCAGCTCTGACTGGATGGTCACTCAAGAAGCTTCTTCAGCTCTGACTGGATGGTCATTGAAGAATTTTTTTCAGCTCTGACTGGATGGTCATTCAAGAAGCCTCTTCAGCTCTGACTGGATGGTCATTCAAGAAGCTTCTTCAGATCTGACTGGATAGTGGGGTCATCCACCATCCAGTGAGAGCTGAAGAAGCTTCTTGGATGAGAAGTGAAACAACTTCAAAGAGAAACAAGAAAGTCTAGTTGCCTCCTGAAAAAGCATCTTTGGCATCCTGGAGCCCTGTTTACCTGGAGCAAAACATTCATAAAACACGGGAGAACAATACACTTGGTGAAAGAAATACTTTGATGATTCATTAAAGAGCAAGCAAAATTAGGAACCATCCCATCTCTTCTGCGTGGACAGTGCATTACTAAGAATTGAGCCCCTGCATATTTGCCTTTAATCCAGTGCTGGGATACCCAGGAAGCCTGCAGTGCCAATTTTCAGGCTCACCGGAGAAATGAGTTTCTGGATCCTATCTCAGAATTAATATTTGGGAGGGAAGAGGAACTCACAAAAACATACCTGACGTTCGTGTGTCAATTTCGTTGCTATGATTTGTCCCATCCCTTTCAGCCATTGCTTG